AGCTTGAACTCAGAACAGTTCTTGAGCTTGAGCTCAAGAATAGCCTGGGCAACAGAGTCAGACGTACTCTCTACAAAAACATCAAAAAATAAGCCAGGTGTAGGTCCTCTCTACAAAAACGTCAAAAAATAAGCCAGGTGTAGTGGTGCATATCTGCTACTAGCTACTCAGGAGACAGAGGTAGGAAGATGGCTTGGGCCCAGGAGGTCAAGGCTGCAGTGAGCCATGATCACACCACTGCACTCCAGCCTGGGTTACAGAGCAAGATTCTTTCCCAAAAATAATAATAATTAACAATAAGTATTTATATACTATACCACTGTGAAATTAAACAAAATCATTTTGAAAGAAAGTCGGGGGAAGTATTTGGAAGAGAAGCATATCACTGTGAATATTGTTTTGTTTACTTTTCTGAGTATCACTGTTATTGTATCAGTATTTCTAAAGACATTTCATTATTATATCAATCAACCATTATAACCAATGCTTTCATGTGTAATGGTGCTTTACATGTTTAATTAATGGATAAGTACAAAATATTTCCACTTTTTTTTTAGTCACTGATGACTTGCTTTAATACATCTTTAGGCTTATATAGATCTCTAATAAAGATAGCAGAACACAAATAGTAAAAACTCAATTAACTTCATAAAAGTCTCATAAAAGAGGGTTTCCTGGGGAACTACAGCTTTTATTAACAGAAACCCTCTTTTCTGTCAGGACTCTTAAATTAGTAATCAAAACATGCTGAATATACTGCATTTATCTTTGATGGTCTGACATAGGGGTCATTATTCTAATGCTCAGTTCTTACTGTTCATTACTGTAGCAGAACAAGATGTAGAAGATTGATTTTTTTTTTTAAGTGCTGATGGCAGGGTAAACTCTGGGCCTTTTGTAAAAAAGTGTCTGATATATGTTTATTTTTCTTTAAATAAGACTATTTAGTGACTACTATACATCAGAAAGGAGGGGAGTGCTATTTTACTCACAAATTTCTGATCCTCACAACTATCTCCACTTTACTGAAGAGGTATAACAGCATTAGTTTTGGTTTACTTATCTTCCAAAAAGTGGTGTGCAGAATACTATTAAATCTTCTCCATTTAATTGAGGCTTCCAGTGTGGCAGGGGGTCCAGTTATTAATAAATCAGGTTTTCATTAATCAAGATTATGAACTTTGATTCGTTCATCTGCTCTTGATCCCACTTTTTAAGGACGAAAATTAATAGTTGATTATGGTCCAAGTATTAACATAAAGAATGATTTTGAGTGCCTAGTTTCTGCCGTATTTTTATTTCAGTCATTTACCTAGTGCAGGACACTGAAGGACAACCAGGCAAATACTGATGAGCATTCACAGTCTGAAGCTTTGACAAAGAACCTGCAGCTGTCATCAGCTTAGTTGCCCCGTGTGTTCTGTATCACTGCTAAAGAACTTGTGTTTCTCAAAGTATTAACAGGACGTGTGATTTAGTTTAGAGTGGTCCTCATTTATCATAACACAAATAGTGACTTTCAAGTGTCTTCGAGAAACGTGAAGTTACAAAAACACTTCTGTAGGAAGGCTGCCACAATTTCAAATAGATCAATGAAAGGTTTGCTGATCCAGCAGTGGCAGAATTATACCAGTGTGGTGATGAATAACAATCGTAGTCATGATCAGTGGCTATCAAGAATGGCCTAGGCTCTGTACAGCATTTCGGTGAAGTAGGGAACATTAGCCTCATTTTAGGACACTGTAGACACTGAGAAACTGAAATGACCTGGTCAAGTCCCACAGTCACGATTCTACACAGCAAAGATACAAACTCTGATCTGTTGAATCCCCAATCCTTGCATTTAACCACCATATTTCACTGACACACTCTTATGTACTTTTATTAGTAATTGTTTAAAGTTATTCTCAGGGAATTTGAATATTTTGAAACATCCTCTGATTTTATAGACTCATGGATTTATACTTAACAATGTGTATTTTTATGAGGAAAACATATAGTAAACAATCCAGTATTCACAGATGTGGAAACAGACCAGGCAGTGATGAATCTGAGTTTTTGTGAGCTGGAACCCACTGATGGGAAGAAAACCCAGCACCTACTTAGATTAGGCATTCTCTTTTCCTGATCACATATTTTCTAATGCAGATCTTCCCAATGCTTTGCTATTTATGAAGCATTTTATAAATATAAGCCTTTCAACATCTTTGCATAGTTAAGATTCATTCACCCAGTTTTAGAGATGAGCAAACTGAGACTCAGACAGACTAAGTAATTGCCAGGTTTACACAGTAAACATTATGAGCATGTTCCAATTAACTTTTGCTAACTTAATAATTTAAAAATGTTATGTTCACATAGGAGTGTTCCCTTACATATCAGTTAAGTATTTCATTTCTTTCCCAGCCTTAGTATTTTATGTTATTTTAGCTCTTTTCACCTGGTCCATTAATTTCATATCTGTACCCTCGGTGAAATATAACTGGATTCTCTAATAAAATATACGTTTTGTTTGTGATAACTGTGTTAAAAGTGAAAACTTAAAATACTGGAAATGTAGAACAGAATAAGCTATAATACAGACACAGAGTAAGGCATTTGAAAGACATCTCAGTGGTCCCAAGATAAGTACAACTTGTCCAGGTCAGAAGCATCTGGCCTTTGAATTAAACATCCCATAACAACTGGAAATTCAAAGACAGACACTCCAATTACTACCGTAGCTGTTTTTCTTCCTGTTTGCTTAAGAAAGCAGCTACATCCTAAATTAAACAGTGGAAATCATTTTGTGAGGATCTCATACTGTACGGTATCAATAAGAAGAGGTCAAGGGTGTAATCCCAAATATTCCTACCTTTTCAAATTTGCCTTTCAGAATATTGTATCTTTGAATTTATGTGAATGTCTTTAAGCACAACATTTCTTGAGTTAACCAGATTCTACATCTTATTTCTCTTATTCAAGCTTCAGGGGCATTCCTCATATCAAGTAGTCTGGGAGTTAGTAGATTAGTGTATTTGTTCATTCCCCAGATTCAGTCCAATAATAAGCTGCTAGACACTGCCTTTTGTAGGCTTTTAGATAATTTTAAAATAAAATACCAGATACTCTTACTTATTCTGGAAGCAGTTACCTGGCCTATTAAAAAAAATCTCTTTCCAAATTTATCCTCATGAGATCTTCCACCAATCTATATGTTAATATTTAAAGTTCTGCATTAGTTCAAACTCATCTAACTTTGTGCACCCTTGAATCTCCTTAACTAGTCTAGCTCAGGTTTGGCATTGTGAGTATAGGTTTTGTTGTTGCTGTTGTTCTTGTTGTTGTTTAAAGGAGAAATCTATTCTTTTGAAGATGCTTCCCTAGTTTGTCTTATGTAAAACTGTCTCAATCCTTCATATTCCACTATCTCAGCTATAATTTTTTTTCTCTGTTTTTGCATACGTAATGAGAACATTTCAGGAGAATGTCTAGGCTTATGCACTATTTACCTGAAACACATGGAAACCAACATTTAACATTCTGTATTTTTTTTTTTTTTGAAATGCTCAGGTATGTCTTTGCTACCAACACTATGTCTATAAATCAATGAAAGTCAAATCCTTGGCCCTTAGAGGAAAATCTCAATCTAGCTCTATCAACAATAAAATATTTGTTGTATAGGACCCAGTTGATAATAATCTTGAGGAGCCAGGTACAGATGTTCTGTACTCCTCTAGCAGGCACCTTAGGTTTTCAAAGTTAAATAGGGAGAATACATTCACTTATCTAAGCCATCAAGAAATATTCAATCCTCGCCCATCCAAGGACTATTCAGTTTGTCTTTGTACTTCCTACCAAGATAAAGGTCCCCTCCACCTTGACTTTTTGTATGTCCATCTTCTGTCTGGGGAAGAAGAGTTATAAACCATATGGACGAGGACTATATCATCCCATGCTAGTCGAGCACCTTACTAGTTCTTACTAGAGCATATAGTATTGGGGTGGGGAGAGGAGAGGTGTTGGAATTGATAAATGTTCCTCCCAAGATTTGTCTTAATGTTTACCATGTTCATGTTTTATGGTGGAGAAACAAGGTTAAGTCATGCACATCTAACTGTAATTTGAATGATGAGAAATTGGAAAATAAAAATTATAAATTCCACATTTTTAACCTAGATTATTCACGCTGGTAGCAGCTGAGATAGGCACAGTTTGAAGGACAAGACAGTGTTTTGCTAAGACTGACAGCTATAATACATTCGAAAGCACAGTGATGTACCTAAGAATGAAATTAAGGATTCAGGCAGGATTGTAAAGGATCAAATATCAGTAGTGCTTTTTTCATCTAGAAAGAGCCAGAAACAAGTAAAAATTGAGGTATGATTCCAAGGGATTCTTTGCAGCTGGAAAGATATATTTTGGAAAAGAATTAGCTTAAATGACTTAATAGAAAATAAAGTGAAGAAACACCTAAATAAGTGCCTACTTTGGACCAGGCAGCTCACATATTCTCATTTAATTGCCAAAATAAGCCCAAAGGTTAAAAAAAAAAAAAAAAAACTTCATTTTTGCCCCCAAAGAAGCTCAGGCTTAGGAAGGTAAAGGAATTAGCCCAAGGGCACATAACTCACATGCTCTTTCATCCACCCTGAACCACTTCTATGAATATCTAGTCTGCTCAAATATTCATGGAAGGTGAATTTAATACTGGTATCCTTATAACATGTGTTAAGATTCAATATTAACTTTGAATTTCAGCACTGGGTGGTTAGTCAACCATGAATCAGTCAACAACATTCTTTCACCATCTAAAACAGACAAATATTAGGGGATATTAGAATTCTGAAGGAATATAACATCTTATTCCTGAGATGGAGAGCACTTGAAGGAGAAGACAGAATGTGCACAAATCTATAAAAAATATTTGCACACTTACAAAAATATGGGTTCAACCAGAATCATTTTGTAAGCAATAAAATGAGAAGAAAGTGACTGGTGATGGCTGTTGAAATGCCCTGAGTTACTTGAGGTAGGTTAGATACATTTATGCCTAGAAATTAAATTTTACTAAATGTGCCAGACATAATAAGCTTAGCATCATTTAATCCTTATAGCCACCTTGTAAATTAGGTACTAGTATTATCTCAATTTTCCTGGTGATGAAACTAAGGCAGAAAGAGTTGAAGCATCATGCCCAGGCTTCCAGAAGTGGTAAGTGGCAGAGCTAGCATTTGCACTGAGGCAATACCAGAGTCACTGCTCTTATGCTGAACCTACACCTTCTACTTCAGTGTGACCATGTAAGTATGTGGGCTGTGTTTATCCAGAGTCTGACTCCTTAACCCTTGACAAATTTTCTATGTGAAAACAGTTTCCCATTGTTCTTAGAGGAGCCAGTTCATCGATTTACTCGACAAATTTTTCTTAAATAACCATAATGTGCAATACAGTGCAGTGCTCATGCTGGGCACACAGTAGTGAACAGGTCAGACAAGGACTCTGCCGTGTTGCATGTACTGTGCTGGGCACTGCATATGCATTAACAACACATTACAATGAGTCTTAATTGTGAAAATAATGCACACTTTCATTAGACTGAAGAAATGAGTTACCCTTAAAAATTAACATCATTCTTCCAAAAATTGGAAAATTGTCTATAAACAAGACTTCAGGGGCATTCAGGGGCATTCCTCAGTGAATGAGATAGTTTGGGGGGATTCCTATTTAGAACCAGGGTAGCAGTTTAAATACCCTTACAGTCTTAGAATGATTTTCTTAATGAAGCCTTAAAACGTGTATCTTTATAGTAGTTATATTTTCATAATATAAGCTGCTCATGTCCATTTTGGAACAGCTTACTCCCACTGCCCAAAATTGCTTGTTATACACATTGCTTAGTGTTGTCTATCCTGTAGCTCTAAGTAATTAGTTGTGGAATTATGTTTATAACAATGCAGAGGGTGAGGTATGCATAAGAAACTCACACTGCCATTACTATCCCATCCCAAAACTACCGATCATTTGCCAGATTTCAACAGATTTTTAAGCCAACAGTGTTTTGTTTTTCCTGATGATAAAGGCCCACCTCTAAAATTCATCAAGCTACAGCCTATTACAATGAACCAACATTCTAGAACCCTGCTAAGGTGATTCCAGGTTTTAATGAGCAGGGCACGGTTCTAAAAATATTTTCCTCCTCTTGCTTGTATTCATGCTTCCTCACCCGCTCACTGGAGTAGAGGGGTGTCAGCCTGAGGCTCAAAGAAAGACCCCTTGAGAGTCTGCTGACTAAGCTTGCAGCAGGGACCCACATGGCATGACAGAACGGGCTCCTTGCATATATGCAGTTCCATAGTTAGTTACATACCCACGCATAGGCGTGGACACCCATGGACGTATGAATTTTTGTATGCATGTGCTGTGAGCCCAGCATTGGTCTCCCTCTCCTTTATCCTGACCCCTGAGGAATCCCTGCAGTTCCCTGGAATTCAGGGAATAAATAACGAGATGAGGCAAATAGTCCTTTTTCCTACCCTGGTGGCTGGGACCGCTCAGTGCCTGGAATCTGCAATGCCTCCTCTCACAAGCAGCTAATAAAGACAGACTGAAAAGATGAGCAAGAGAATGCATGGATCCAGGAAGGGGCTGCTGTAGAAGAGATGATGCTTCGGGAGCTACTGGGCTATGATTTCTATTATTATTTATACATATATATACACACACAAAGCCCTGGGAGGCTGCAGAGGAGGCAAAGAAACCCCGAATCTAAAATCCTGAGATTTTTCTAACAGCACCTAGAAACCACCGCCAGGCTCGGAGCCCCGGGCTGGGTCAAGGAATTCGAGGAATGCAGGCTGGACGCACCGGCTGAAACTCGAGGCGCCGCATAGGCACTTTGCGCCTTGGTGGGCTTTGCGCTCGGAAGACGCGTCCACGCACCATTTTCCCAGGCGTTGTGCGGGTTTCTTAAACCGCTCAGCTGGTGCCTCGGAAGAGTTTCTGGAAGCTCCATCTCTACTGCCTCCCCTCCCCCCTTTTTCATTTTACCCCCGCGAGGAGCTTCTCCAGCCCCACAGCGTCCGCCCTCTGAGGAGTACAGGTGCCGCTGTCCCGCCGGCTGCCGCCCGGTCCGCCCACGCCGCCTCCTCCGGGCTGGCCAGGGGGCTTGACCCAGCGCCGCCGCTTCTCGAATGGTCTCGTGCAGGGGCGCAGCGGCCGCTGCCCGTCGCCCGGGACTCCCCGCCCTCCCTCGCGACCCCGCGCCGGGGCGGGCGGCGCTTGCGGCGGGCAGGGGGCGGGCAGGGGAGAGGGGGCTCGTCCGGGGGTAGCCTCCTCCTCTGCAGCCTGCCGGCGCCTCGAAGCCCGGACCTGCCTCCGCCTCTTCCTCCAGCGGCTCCGTCCCGCCTCCCGCGCCTAGTCCTCCCGCCGCCCCCGCCGCCGCGCCCCCGGTGGCTGCCTCGGCGGACCGGGGAGGGGGCCCACCGCGTCGGCCGCCCGCTCGGCTCGGCTCGGTCCGGCCCGGGAGGCGTGCATGCCCCTGCTGCCCGCGGCGCTCACCAGCAGCATGCTCTATTTCCAGATGGTGATCATGGCAGGGACGGTGATGCTGGCGTACTACTTCGAGTATACGGACACGTTCACCGTGAACGTGCAGGGCTTCTTCTGCCACGACAGCGCCTACCGCAAGCCCTACCCGGGCCCGGAGGACAGCAGCGCCGTGCCCCCCGTGCTCCTCTACTCGCTGGCCGCCGGGGTCCCCGTGCTCGTGGTAAGCCCCGGGGCGCTTGCTCTCGCCGCCGACTCCCTTCTCTCGCCCCTCGCCTTCGGGGTTGAGGCCCCGCGGAGGGTTGGGGCGCGGTAGGTTTTGCCTTCTAACTTCCTCCAAGTTATGGGCAGCCCCTTCCCCAGAGGACATTCTAGGGCGCGTGAGGGGTGGGTGCGAAGGAAGCCCCCAGCTCTTCCCACACGCCACCCCCGCACCCCCGCACCCCCCGCGGTGGCTTCAGCTTTGGGTGACGGGGCGGAGGATGGAAGGGTGGAAGGGAAGATCGGCCGTAGGTGGTGAGGGGTGGGGATCGGGGTTGCAAAGGAGGTGAGCTTTGGGGGTGAACCTTGATTCCATTCACTCTGTGGCCTTGCCTCACTCACTGCCTCCTCTCCTATTGCGCCTGGAAGAAGAGCAGCTGCTGGCGGGCCGGCGAGGAGAGAGGGGATCACTTGCTGGGGTGTGGAAGGGATTCCCGCTTCCCGAGTCGGGGCACGTATTTCTATTTTACCACCTCCTTCCTTTTCAGATGAAGGTGCCAATGGGACTAAGCTGACCAGGGAACAAATATTTGAAAAAAGAATTTGAGAATTTCTAAATGAAGAGGCCTCAGCACCAGTGCCTTGCTGAAAAGCAGGAGCTGTGCCTCAATTACAAGAGCACTTCGGATTTATTTAAAGGCTGCTCCGCTCCCTGGGCAGTTTAAGTCCTTTTCTCTTAGAACCTCACAGAACATGCCTTTTGGATTTATTGAGTCTATGTGTGTGCGAGAGAGAAGGAATGACTATACAGATACACGCACGCATATATATATACACACACCTCACTTATATACATATGCAATTATTGGGATAAGTTACACATAATATTAATTTTATTATAATTTACATATGTGAATATGCTACATATTTATTATTAGGAGAATTGCTAGTGTTTCTTTAGAAAACCTGATATTTTATGGTTCCTTTAAAATTGACAAAGTATTGGAGGTTCCCTTCCTGTGACGCGCGCTCTCTCTCTCCCTCAGCAGATAACAACCAGGAAATAAGAAAATGAAGGAGAAAGGAAAAATGAAGTTTTATTTTCAGTAGCTAAATGTGTAAACTGAATGTTAAGAATGTCTGTTGAATCCATTAGGTTTGGATATTCATCATTTTTTTAAATTTATTTTAGGAGCAATGACTGACTTATTTGCAAAATAATGAAAAGTTTCTAACACATAAAATAGAATTCAATGAACAAATCAAGGAATTTCTTGAGAACCTTAAAGTAACTTTATCACATGTCCTGTGATAGTTGACTTCAAATTGCTTCTAGCATAATAGTTTGAAATGTGTTAGACCTTGCCCCAGATAATGTTTTACTATATATATAATAAGTTGCTAAAATTTGTCGAAGCCCCAAATCCAGCCTTCATGTTTGTGTTCTCTTTTCTCCATTTGACAAGCTGGCAGAGAAATTTTGGGGTCCCTTTTACTTTCTGGAGATCGGGGTTTCCCATATACATTTTCTTCCAGGAGACTAAATAGCTCAGATATTTTTCAAGGACTGTTTTAAAGAAAAAAGGAAAAGACTGTCACTTTCAGTTCATTGGTTTGGTCATAACTATAATCAATAATGTCTGTAACTCTTCCTTTAATTATCATTCCGTCTTATTTAAATAAGATAGCACTTTTCAGTCTTAACCATCCAATCATGACGGCAGGTGCTAGTTAGAGACAAGAACACACTGGCCCACAGATTTGGATGATTCTCCACTTAGGGGGAATGTAGGACGGAGAAAAGGAATGAATTAGTCACTATTTAGTGCCTACTCTATTTTGGGTACCAAATAGTCATAGTCATGTATATTTCTCAGAGCAGCTCTTTCAGGAGATATTATCTCCAATTAATATTTGAAGAAAGTGAGGTTCAGATAATAAATTAGGAATATCTGAAAACAAAAAAAAAGGTGGGTATGGCATTTGTATGCCTATAGGACTGATGCCTGAATGCCATGCGACTTCCATTGCTTCCAAAGAGCTTGTTCTCTGAAAGAAGGTGGAAGCTGGCTAGTCAGGCAGGCATTGACAATAAAAGTGGATAGATTTTTCTGAAGTCAGAATCCAAATTGATTTCAATGTTTTGGCTTTTAGTTATTTTAGGTACAGGAGAATGGATTTGGGAATCAGTTTAGAAGAGAAGAAAGTGGCGGGTTTTGGAGGATAGCTGTGCTGCTGGCGTTTGTTTTCCCTTCTGCTTCTAGGAATAGTGCACTCTGTCACCATGTGAGAATCTGGGAGCAGTAAGGGCAGCTCTGCCTCTCCACTCCTCCTAAGAACACTGGGTTAGCATGCTCACTTGGGCATCAAAATAATAATAATAAAAATATTAACAGTACCCATCATGTGTTGTTACTTTCTTCTGTATACTCTAATAAACTTTCTACATACCTTATATCCTTCTGATATTTGCATTATCTCTGAAAGCAATAATTATTATTCTTACCTAATATTGGGGAACATGAAAGCTTAGAAAGATTAAGTATCTTCTCCAAGGACCAAGGCTAAGAATGTTACACCCAGAATTCTCCCCTTACTCTATCATGCTCTCAAGTGTGGTTTTTCTATTACAGGATGAAAATTCAGTTTACTCGTGAATCATTCTTCTAAACAAATGCTTCAAAAAGTCTCTTTTACATTTTTTGTCCTGTAGTAATAAAGGTTCATATATATATCTAGATATATATGAGAGAGAGAGATATATATATATATCTCTTTCAAACTCATTTCTAGTTCTTGAGGGTAATTTTGAAAAGTCGTTCTCCTCACTACCACAATCTACAGATTTGTTTCATACTTGCTAAATTCATTTATGTACAAATTAAAAACAATATACATTTTGAATTTTATCACTTTTATATAATGCTGACTTGGGGCCCAGGTTCAGAGTCCAGTAAATTTGGATTCAAATCCAAAGTACACTCTGCTGCATTGTTAAGAGTTGGGAACTCTACTTGCTGTGTAACCTTGAACAATGTATTTAAGCTCCTTAAGCTTCAATTCCCTTCGTGACAAGGTTTTGAATATCAGATTAGTTATAATATGTAAATATCATCTTTGGCCCATAGTTGATACTCCATAGGAGTTCACTACATAATTAACATTATTATTATTAAAAAATCAGTAAAAATTTATTGAATGCCTGTGTTCCAAGCATTATATCTGGCTGAGTAGAGGTTATAAAGGCAACTTCAGAAGTTAACCATAGTAACTGATCCTAAGGCGTTTACAGCCTAATTTGTGAAATTAGATAACCATACCGCAGCGCATAATATAAATAATTACGACAGAAGTTATGCATGTGTATGTGTATATGCAGATACATGCATCTGCATATACCACAAAGACCTCTAGTGGTTCAGAAGAGGATGAGATAAATCACTTTTGTTTGGAGACAAGAGGAAAGGCTTCATGGAGAAGATGGTGGCATTTAAGGTGTGTCTTGAAGGAGAGGCTGAAATAGAATTTGAGTTAGGACATCACTCCGTGAACAGCTCCGTGAACAACCCGTGGAGGCAGCGAATGGAGACTGTACTCTTGAAACAGCAGTTGGTTAGTTTGTTTCTAAGAGTGGTGTGTGGGGAAAATGGCGTATACATCTGAAGATGAAGGCTGGGGTCACATTGGTAAGGCCTGAAATGCCATGCCAGGCTGAGAGATTTTCTCGATTTGGTAGGAATTTAGCAGAGATAAAGTATGATGGGTGGTGTTTTAGGACTTTTTTTAGGTAGTAGTGTATAGGACTCTAATGTTATCAAAATACAGAATTTCAGACTCTTCATCTCCAAGTTTATTTTGCATTATCTAATGTTACTGCAATTGCATTTTCAGAAAGCACCTGTAATTTGGGCTTATTTACTCAGATGATACAGTTTATAAACTCTTTGAAAAGAGGTACTGTTCAGTTGGTTCTCTATAGCATTTGCCAGAGCACTGGACACTGCTTATACAGGTACAGGTTTAGTGAGTGATCCTTGGTGTTCATTGATTAAAAGAACTGGTGATGGCAGTGGTTACTGCTCCCCACATTTGGATACAGTGGCCACTAGCAGCTATTGTTCCTTAGATCTCTGAGCAACATAGGTGATTTAAAGGAGATGAAGCTAGAGCACCATCTTCACAAAGCTAGAATAAAGATAAAGAAAACCAGCACCAACCAAGGCAGCCCCTGACACTGAGCATGGCAGATTTGAATGTTAAGGTGCATCTCAGATTATTTATATCTGCAACCCTAGGAAGCTCCCTCTGGACCTGGAGACTCAGATTTGAGAAATGTAGCTACTGCTGCTATCCCCAGGGTGCTGGCGTCATTGTATGTGGTGAAGATAGATGATAGAAAGTCATCTCATACCCAGAGCTCCCCACTGGATCAATGTGCCTAGAGCTTTCCCATAGACCTCTTCTCCCCCAAACCCAGCCTTGGGCTCACTGCCCATCCCCATTCCTGGAACACTCTTGTGGTGTGGTGTAGGAGACAAAGCACAGACATGGGTTTCAGATGTGTCTGGATGCTTATTCTGGTTTCTCCCACTTACTAGCCGTGTAACCTCAGTCAAAATGTTCTCATTCATAAACTGGACATAAAAACACCCACCTCTCGGAGACTCGGTACCTGAAGAGGTTAAGATCACAGACTCTGGAGCCTGCTTGGGTTTGATCTGCTACTTTCCAGCTGTGAGAATTTGAGCCAGTTAGCCTCTCTATGCCTCCATTTTCTCGATGGTAAAATTGAGGTAAATATGAGTAGTAGCCTCACAGGATTACTGTGTATGAAATGGGTTAACATGTGTAAGTATCAGAGCAGTGCCCAGCTGTATATGTGTTAGCTCCTATTAGGCTTTCCAAACCTGTGTTGATTAATCAGGAAACCTCTTTAAAGCACCTAGCAAAATACTTTAGTTTGTTAGTGGATTCCAGGGCCAGTAAGAAATTAAACGTAGATGGAAACCACCTAGTTTAGTC